ATTTCTGTCACAAACCAACAATGACCAAGAATAATTATAAATTGGTAAGATATATTTTGATGATCTTTATACATCAGCAGAAAGCAGGTTAACATCCTATATCAGACACCCTCTACATACAAACTTAACCATTCATAGTTCAGTAATGGTAAAATCAGCGATAAGCTTATCATTAAAATTTACAATGGGCAAAATAAGTCTCGCATGAAGACAATTAGGCACAAATTCCATATGATACAACAATAAAACAAAATATACAAATATATAATCATTAGCATTAAATGTTGCTGGTACTATAGTATAAAATTAACAACACAAAATAGGAACTTCTACCTATACAAAATGCATCGGAACACAACTGTGAAAGTGATATTGATGGTATTAAGTTTCATTATAACCTCTGCTTTACAAATCTATTGATTACTTTTTCCCCATACTGTTATAATAACATGTTTTAAAGTTATATCCACTCCCAATCAAAACATTCTATCCCAAAGTCAGTTATACTCAGTAGTTTGATATTTGGTTCTGGCTGTTTAACAAGTACTGTAAAATCATGAATTTTCGAGGTGAATTTATTTTCCTTTATTTTGCAGGGACTCTAAATCCACTAATTTATATGATCACGAAATAACAAAAAGAAAAAAGTTGACATGGAATATATATATGGTACTCGTAGATTTTGTCGGCAAGATTTGTCCATGAAATCAAATGGCAAGGAAAATATATGTATTTGGAAAACCATGAAATTTGAGCACTATGAAAATACACGGTTTTACAGTAAATTCTGATAAAACTAACAATCTGATTTCTCAATTTTAGGGTTTAAGTATTCACAAGAAGACTTCAGAAAAATCTAATAACTGATTTCAATAAATACTTAATCATTTGACTTTTATGCCCAGTTGGCTATATGTATATATTATCCAACTGTTGATATATAAGAATTATCGCACAGTGAGGTGATAGAAGATTTTATCAACAGAAAAAAAAGGCAATTTACGACAAAGGTCATTATATATTTACAGAGGTCAACACAAGAACTTAATCTCACTGTTGATGTATTCTGTTTGTCTTCAAAATATGAAAAAAACGTGGCCCATCAAAGGTGAGATTTGTCTGGACTGCATATTTTTCTATGGGGTAGTTGCAACAAAAATGAATGAAAAATAATACTTGCCTGTTTAAAAAATCCCATTTCCTTGTTTAAAACACACATTATCAGGAAATATTCTATTTTTTTTTACAATGTAACATATCAATTGGAAACCAAGGAACATCTCTTTCAATTAGCAATATAAATTACAGTATGAAAACAATCTTAATTTTATCAGTTCAATTGTCACATGACCAAAGGTATATAGTAAATTAAAAATAAATCAATGTTCAATCTTATGAAATTATTTGACATCTTTCAATATTCCACATTTTATACAGAAAACTCTTGGACACAAAATACCTTGTCTATTCACCCCCAAACTTATAACTCTTGTTCCATTGAACATTTGTCAGATTGTTTTTGTCAATATTTTTGCTTTTTCGACAACTTATCTGTCATCCACATTGCATTCATATTGACAATAATTACAAGCTTACAACCTTTCAATATCATCATGTCCATTTAACAAAATTTTGTAGTTTTTCTCCTGTATGTTTATTTACCCGCGATCTTCCTGAAAATCATTATCATGTCAAGGAGTGCTGTGAAGCTGCAGCAGTGTTTTCGAAGGAGTGCAAAGCAGTGACTAACTGTTCTTTAACATTGTGTAAAAATGACAAATTGTCATGTGATCTAAAATAGGTCTAAACTCCTGTAAATACAATCCAGATTAATCTGGAGTTAATTGATGGCCAAAATGCAAAATGTGAATTTTTCCCTGAATTAGCTGTAAATCTCTTTGATTCCAATGGGATTACACTATCTCTGCAATATGAACACCATGAATAATGACCCAATGGTTCATCGACTAGCTATTTCATAAATATCTCATAATATTTTCTTGAAATTGTTATAAAATGAATAAATGTTCTTCTAACAAAACTAGTATGAAAATTTCTGATAATGATACAAGAATCACGGATAGCATTAAGGTTAAAACATGAAAAAAAAAGTAAACCAGTTTGATGTGAGTGCTTACCCACAGAATATAAACACAGTACCAGTATATAGCAACCAGCACTACACAGGAACCATCAACTTATGTAAAACCTTACCATATCTCCAGTGTGAAGTAAATCAAACTCAGGATACACAAAATAGAGGGTAGAATAGACCTCATTCAAAAGTAACACACATATTCCACACAAACTGCTCCTTCATTGTGGTACTAGTTAGCACAAAGGAACTAATGTATACACACACACAAATCATGTCTCTTTTGTCATTTATCAACAAATTCAAACACAATTCTCCACAACATTTCTATTCACAGAACAATGAAGACAGATAAAATTCAATTTCATTTATTTTGTACAAGATCACTGAGGACTTTTTTTCTATGAAACCACATCCCTATTGCTTTGAAAATCAATCTATACCAACCAAGCACATTTGAACTATAAAAATATGCAACTTTGACTTTCGACATACAATTTTTAATATTCATGCTGTAATTTAAAACTTTACACTGGTTTTTTTTCAATGTTTTTGCATATTTCCAAAATTGAAATATAAATATTTTATCGTGGATGACCATTCAATAAGTAACTAATTTCCTCTCGTTTTCTTGTAAACGGAATAGCATTCTGAAAATCATCAGAATTATGTAAACAACTGACGCGAAGGAATAATATGCATTATCCAAGTTGATGTGCAAAGCATTAATGAAACAGGGGTCAACATGGCACCATTATCATATTACTGTATGGGTATATAATGTAGAATTAATCTAAAATCCCGTGAATATGATCCGGGTAACCTTGTGTTAAAGGGAGACTGCAACAAGATATATAGATATTTATAAATACAGTCGAAATTTACAGAAAAATAATAGTTCAGTGGAAAAACTCCAATATTGCAATATTCTGCTTAACCTGATAAGTTATTAGCAGCAAACCAGTGTGCATAAGATATTTGTTACAAGCATAAAGGCATATATTTTCATTTCTTCTTATTCAAGTATCTTTGAAAGGAAGAACAAAGAAAAAAAGATTAAAAAGTCCTGTATGGTTTTGTAGTAACACTCTATAATACAAAACTCTAACCACAAATAAAATGGCACGCTTTCTAGTGACGATCACCTTAGTAACTTGCATTTCTACAACTAACAACAAAGAACATACAGAAATTTGTTCTATGATAAATTAAAATCAAAATGTAATACAGTGAAGTCAGAACACAACTAGTTCAAACAGACATCGTCAAATCTCTGAAAAGTCTATAACTTTTTGATATATAGAGACATTTGCAGACTTGGGGCTACTTTGCATTGTTACAGCTTTAGGAAATACTGATGAAGTCTCCCATGTATTCCTCATCTTTTGATAGTTTATTTTCTATGTAAAGTATATGCTTTACATAGTATAATAAAGAGTATTTAAAACAATTGTATCTACAAGTATATTATAACATGCTTAAAATTGTTTTCTGTTCTGAACCAATAAATTGTTCAAAACCAGTATACCAGCTTTATCAGCTGAAGTCAAAGCCAGCTGATATATACCTTATTCAGTAACTCATTCAATATCAGTTGAATAATATATTAAACAAGCTATCAAGTCTTTGACCTATAGTATTACAGAACACTGAACTTTGCATACTGGTACAAATGTATTTTGTAATTTTTTATATATTTTTTTTTTGTATTCTTGCACACCATTTTCTCATTTTTACCATGTTATACATATCAAAAAAACAAAAACAAAACAAAAATGCCAAAATATAATTGCTATTCTTGTCAAACAATCACAACTTCATCCAACCAAGTGTTAAGGTATATCATGCATTCACTCACATAGTTTCCTTTTCCTAAATCAAAAATCCTTTAAAAAATCTTCATTCTAGAACTAAAAACCTTAAATACTGTATATAACAAAGATGCTGATCAAACATTTATTGTACATACATCTACATGTAAATACATGTTCAAGTAAAATAATTTTTCTGTATTTTTTCTGTCAAACATGATTTTAATGAAGACAAGAAAACACTAAATGTGTACAAATGTATTTGAAAATAAATTAAAACATTGTTTTCATAATATCGAACATTTTTTCACATTAAACATTTAAAAATGACAACACAAATGCCTTTGAAATGCACAACATGGATTAGAATGTGTGTTATCAACTCCAGAGTAGCTTCAACTCATTTCTATATTTTTTCCTATTTCACATTTATGTATTATCATTGTTAATTTTTATGTATATAACAATTTACAAAAATAGTAAAGGTCAGCAACTGGATGTAAAAACTAATGAAATTTATTTTTTGTTACAGATTTTCAAAAGTGATTCAAAGTATTACTAAGTTCTTAAATAAGATCAATCTCATAAGACAGTTTATGGTGTGCATTATGCATTTACAAAAGGAAACTTTGTCTTCAATGTTAAACATTGAACAGTTATATTTACCCTTATAGATAGGTTTTCAGTATAAAATTTTGATCAGTAACATACTCACTCAAGTATAGACAAGTTTTCGGTATAAAACATTGAACAGTTACATGTTCATTGTGACCCTATAAAGATGATTTTTCAATGTAAAATCTTGAACAGTTAGGAGTACAATTATACTCCTATAGGGACAGGATTTCACTGTAAAATCTTGAACATTTGGAAGTACAATTATACTCCTATAGAGACAGGATTTTACTGTAAAATCTTGAACAGTTAGGAGTACAATTATACTCCTATAGGGACAGGATTTCACTGTAAAATCTCGAACATTTAGGAGTACAATTATACTTCTATAGGGACAGGATTTCACTGTAAAATCTTGAACATTTGGAAGTACAATTATACTCCTATAGGGACAGGATTTCATCGTAAAATCTTGAACATTTAGGAGTACAATTATACTTCTATGAGACAAGTATTTACTATACAATCCTGATTCTCTATATCTAATACTTTAGGGACTGATCTATGTCTTTGGTCAGCTAAATATCTATAATTCAAACATGTATACATAGATGGAAGTTTCTGTTCTTGCTACATATCTTCAAACTTGACATTTACAAAACTTGCATTTATTTTAAAAAATGTTTTCTTTAAACAAACAAAGTAAATAAAGTTTTACACCTTTCAAGGTCAGAAAGGTCATCTCCTGTATGTGGGGACTTGAAGACATTCCAAGTCTAGGACCTCTTTCTATTAAGTAAACAGCAGGACCAGAATGGAATGATTTAGAATAACAGACAACAGGACAAACCCATCCTCTCTGAGAAGATTTAGCCCAGGTCCATTACTGATTATCCCTGAATGTCTTATATATAAATCAACTAAAATCTTAGTACACTTTTTGGCTTGAATTCTTTGACTGGATACACAGTCCTTGATAGTTTCTGGATTGTTTGCATTATATGCTATTAATAGAAAGAGCCCTAGTACTCCATATTTAACTTGAAAGATAAGTATGATATATCTACTTTGTATTGCTAGACATCAAAACAAAACTTTTCATTTTAGTAATGTATGTCACTTAACCTATTTTTTTTTAAACAATCAACTTCTTTTTACTTTTTCGAACTAGATAATGATTTTCTATCTATCAATGAGTGAAACTTTCAAATTTTTATCACATTCAGCTTTATAACCAGAGAGGATAGTTGTAAAATTCTGTCCCCAGTGATTTCCCTTACTTCCGCTTGTCTCCCTTGGCTCGTTTTGTCACACGCCCACATGTAATTCCAACTAAAAATATCATACCTAATACTACTATCATTATGCTAAGGATATAATTTTTAGCAGGAGATATACTGATTTGTTCATAAATTTCTCCAAAGCCTTCTGGTGGGGCAACCTGAAATGAATGAAGCATTTTAATTACAATTAGTTAAAATACATAAATACATATATGATCCTAATCAATCTATCCCAACATACCACATCTATCCTCCATTAAGCCCTAGGAGCTAACAAACTTCTTCTACCAAAGTTCCCTAATCATCCCTTTTCCAAATATTGCTACTTTATCTGTCTAAGCATCTGAAATTTGTTTGCTGAGTTAGCTGGTATCATCCCATCAAGCAGAGTCATACTGAGACAGGGTCTCTTTGTAGAAGATGGTGGTAACTTCAATGAACAACATAGGGGAGGCCCATAACATGTCATCGAAAAACAATAAAGGTGAAGTGCCTTGCCCAAGGACACAATTAAGTCAACTTGTCCTTTTCTCAGCTTTCTCAGAAATACAGATAGGGAACATCAAACTACACAACTCAGATCTTTGCATGGGTTCAACTGAATAAGTTATCATAACCAGAAATAATACCTCTGATTCAAAGTAAGGGTATTTTTTACAGCTTATTTCTATAAAAGTTTGGTTTCAGTAACATTATGCTCAATATTTATTTAAAATCAAAAAAGGATAACACACATTCATGTTGATCATTTTTGGTCAATATATCCTCAGTTATCTTATTCCAAATCATGAGACCATCTTAATTTTTTTTTCTTCTAATTTTGATAATTTTTAGTTATTCTTGATGACCAGGATGAAAGCACACTGACAATGTCAATTTGGGAGGAAAACAGAATACAAAGAGAGATCAATGTAACTGAGCAGATAACCTTATACTTTCAAACAGATCACTGAGGGAAAAAAATCTCTTTCATCCAGCGCCAGGCTACAATTTATACCCAACAGTTTCACTAAACTATTTAACATGTTGTGAGCCAAGCAAGTGTTATTCCCCCTGTTTAATAAAAAGAAACAGAATGGTGGAAACTGATGGACTTATCGGGGCTATTCCAGTAAAAATCAATGGACAAAGAACTCCTTGTTTTTTATACAGGGATCATTGAGAAGTCATAAAGGATGTTTAATCAGTCCCTCCAACCACCCCCCCCCCCACCATTTTTTTAAAAATACATGGAATTTCTTTCTTTCTGGGCTCAATTTCTGGCATTCATGGAACTAAAATTTCAGGACTTAGTTCAAGCCATTAGTTGATAAGGACTTAGTTCTGTAAACATACCCTAACGGAAAACTCCCACAAATCTTTTCGCTTGGACAGTAAGTTTCTGCAATCAGCTGACATTCCGTCTGGTCTGTCTTCTAGCTCTATCAGCAGACAATTCATTTCTACAATCAGATTAAACATCAATGTGTTAAATACACAATCAACATCCTCCTGTAAAACAGCAAGTCAAAATTGGCATTTGCCTTCTGATGCCAATAGTTGGTAAACATTTTTTGACAGCTACACAACATGTGACTTTTCCAAATTCCATTTCTCCAGCTAGAGTGAGAATGGCCCATTCTTATCATGGTAGTAAATTCATGAAATTTTCTTTAAACTTCATGTTTTCCTCTGGAAATTGTTAAATTAAGAAAAGTTTATAAATACAAGCATGTTTAGGACACTGGTGCCTGTTGTGATAATTTCAAAATAGTATGCAAACTTCACCACATGAGAAGTAAAAGGATGTGATTAAAGTAACTTACGTCTGCCATTTCCAGGGTTTATATGGCCACAGTGTTTTGACAGATCCTGCTGACAGGCAGTGTGAAGTAAAGGGTCCACACCAACATCTATATGGGCTTCCTGTATGGTACGGGCCACTTCCTGTAGAACAAAATCCGCATCAAATAAGGCAAGGACAAACACCAATTCTGATTTAAAAATCAAACTTCATTTATTTTACAACAATTGCGAAACAAGTTTTTCTTATATCAATCACTCTTGTTGGCCCTGATGAAAGCGTGCGAGGGTCTCACTGTGGGAAGAATCATCCATTCATTTCCTATGTATTTGCAGTTCACAAATTTATTAGTCCACAAAATGATGAAATTAATATAAGCAGATTTATTAAGCTGTATCTTTACTGGAAATCAAGAATCCACAAAAATAGCAAAGTTTTGAAAAACCTCAAAAATTCATCCAAAGGAACACATATTATTTTACAGTATACAATACTGTTATAGAAAACTGAAAAGCTTCAATACCTTGGCACACGCTAATCCATTGTGGCTACTCTTGATGCTTTTGATGTTTTTCTTCAGACACTCCAAGACAATACCCTTTCCATCCTCTGTCACAACCACTCGGTTCTGACTACGCATAGCTTTGCTGTGTTCATCAGAACAGAATGACTCAATCTGATAATGAATTGAAATACTGTTTATTCTCCCCAGTCAAGAAAAGATTTGGTAAGTGATCAATAGTATGTGTAGTTATATGGGGTATGGACATTTTAACTAAGGATGTCAAATCTGGATCAGATGAAAGACTGTGCCAAAGAATGTTTAGATGGCTTTTGATTGCACCTTCATAATGCCATGAAAGGTCACAGAGTGCAGCAATGTGTGATTGCGTAATTCCACACTGGTAATGTAAATCCTTCACAGGTAAGAGTTCGAGAAAAGAAAATCTCAAATTTATAAACTTTATCAGTATAGAGATCATTATCCCAACCAATGACACTTGTACAAAACCAAACATTAGATAAAAAAACATATCTTAATTCCAACTTCCAGTGTAATCAACTCACTGTGTACAGTATAGTTAGAAATATTGACGGAGGATTTAATTTCACTGTCAATAAAGTTAGCACGAAATTAAATACCCAGTGAACATTTCTACAGTAAATAAAAATCTCAGAAAATACCTATTATGCCCTTATATGACCACCAGCTCGAAGATATGAGCGAAATTATATACCCATGAATTAGCCCAATATGTCCAAACAGGACAAACACAAACTATCAGCCCCGTTATCTAAACTATTATACAGTACTCAGATATCCCTGTATTGCTTTTGCTATGTATGAGTATTTATAGATAATTTCAATTTAATTGCATATATTCACTTAAAACTGATGCAACTTCATAATGAATGAAAAGGTCAAAGAGTGCAGCAATGTGAGATACCATAATTCCATATGAATGTTCTACACTGTTTTTTTTCCCTCAATCTTTTTAAATCAAAATTTGAGATATTATTGACCTTATGAAAAACTTAATGACAATCTTTTCCGTGATTCTTGCATTAATGTAGATACACCAATGTCATAATCAGTCTCAATTTTACATTACTCAGAGTATTAAAACAATGTGAACAGAATATCACATACCACAGCTTCACAAGCCTTAGCCAGAACAGGATCCTCAAGGTAATTTAAAGCAGCATCCTTTATCACATCTCTTATCTCCGCATTACAATCCCGCGATAATCTCTGTGGAAATGACAAAAACACAGAAATTTTGTTTGATATTCAGAAACAGATTCATTATATCATGCACAACAATTCATTCCCATGAATTTTTAGTATGATATTAACCTAATCCAGGGTTATTTAGAAATGCCTCCCTAAAGCCTCTAGTTTTGACAGGACTTACGTGAGGAGAAAGAGAGAAGGCTTATGTGTATGAAATATATGGTTCTAGATCTAAAAACATGACTTTAAGGTTGGATTTGGAACAAAGACTATCTCTGCCAAAATATATGCATTGAAATATATCAAAACAAGTATTCAAATTTGCAATTGTGTCCCAGAAAAAAGATAACTGTGTGACAGGTTTACAAAACTGTATTCCCCACATAACTACTGTAAATAGTACAAAAGTTGCATTCTAAATCTTTCATTCAACTTATTTTCACAAGTATAAAACATTAATAAAACCACCTGTCTAAATCTCATGTACCTACATTAACAGAAAACTGTTTCCTGAGACAGTTGATAACTTTTCCTTCTAATTCTACGTCATTCTTTTCTGTCTGTACAATATCGCTGCAAAATTTGTTGATATCTAGTTTACAGCTTTTCTTCAAAGATGGGTTCAATCTGTAATCTACAGAAAAAATATACACACAATTATAAATTCTCATTTACATTGACAAATATCATACTGGAAACAAGTTTCTGCTTGAATTTCACAACCACTATGTATTAATTCCTTTTCAAAATTTATACACAGAAAGAGAACAGGACAGTCAGCTCATGACAAAAAACTAGCAGTCTAGATGTGTATGCATGTTTTTCAGCCTAACAGACCAATAAATGTTGATAATACAGACCTGAAATATTTTGTCACCACCTGTACCAAGTTTGATCACATGTAAAACACCAGTAAAGTTACTCATGATGTCCTGCAAAGATCTATTTTAGGTCCTTTGATGTTTCCAGTTTACATAAACGATTTGCCTTTAAATATGAAGGCTGATAGAGATGTGTATGCAGATGACTCTACCTTATCTGCTGCTTGCAAATCATTAGATATCAAAAGCAAATTACAATCTGATTCTAAAAATGTTCATATATGGTGTGTTCAAAATATGATGATTTTGTAAATGCCTGAAAATCAAAATATATATTTGTATAGCTTCTGAACAGAGACAAGGTTGAAACTGTTTAACTCTAGATCTTCCTTTGTATATTAAGTCTCTGGAACAGGTTGTAAGAGATAAATTACTTATTGTTGTTATTGATAATTATTTGACATTGTCAGATTATACTTCATCTATTCTAGGCAAAATAAGGCAAAAATTAGGCTATTACATCATATAAGTCCTTATCTACCTAGCTGGAAGGAAAACTAAGATTTTTCTAGGCTTGTATTCCCCCACATTTTGTATATTGTAGTAATGTGTGGTTCGGGTGTTCTGAAAATGAAATAGGCAAGCTCCTGAAGGCTCAGAAACAAGCAGCCAGAATGATACCATTAGATATACCATCCAAAGACATGTTTGAAATTTTACAGTGGATGCCTATCGATAAATACTTTAAATCTAAGCTATGTATGATTTCTAAATGTTTTCATGGAGAGGTCCCAGACTCCTTATCTAATGATGTATCTTTAGTTAGAAGTAGTCATAATATAGCTACAAGATATGCCTGTGATAACAACTTTTTAGTGCCAAAATACAGAACTATTTTTAACTTAAACCAATTTTTTATATCGAGTATCAAAGACGGGAATGTTTTTCCTCATGAATTTAAGGAGATCAACTGTTTTAGCAGAGTTTTGTTTTGATCTTGAACAGTAACAATCTCTTTCAAATAGTTGACATTGTATGTGTGTGTATTTATACTAAGTATTTAAGTGTTATTATTTTTCCCCATGTCTGTTGTTTTTACCAACCCATTTATATAAATGTATGCTTTAGAAATAAGAGGACCATGTGTTCTATAAGCCTTCTGCTTAACATGTATTTCGTCTTGGAAAATAAAGATTATCATTATTATTATTATTATCAGGACCCAGCAAAATCCCCCCATTTTTTTTTTAAATTGACAGGCTCTGTTGATTATGATAATTCTGAATTATGCTGACATAGCAATGGTCTATACAGACATATATAAGGATGGAAGGATGGATGAACAGACAGACATAACAGGATGTAGTACACAATGACACTACAGTCCTCTATAAATAATTGAGAGAGTATAAAGTCGAAATTCTTCTGTAGAAAAAAAATCCTGCTTACCTTGGTTTTGAATAACTTGTCTTTTAATTACAAAGGTCCGACACTTTCTATCAAATTCTGTTTCATCTTTGTATTTCTGTAGACAATGCATCACATCTCCATTGGTCTGGAGAACGGTTTTGCAATATGTCTGAAACACAAACATCAAATAAATACAGGTATGGTGACTTTGGTTAAAACTAAAAACTTATATATATATATATATGCAAAACATATCTATAGTTGAAACTTGTTGTCTCGAAATCACTTGAGTCGAAAATTCTGCTTGAGTCCAAATATTTTTCAAGTACCGATTTTTTCCCTTCAATATCTTTGTAATTTTAGTTTGGAAAAAAAGATATTTGTCTGAATTTGATTAATATAATCAAATAATTACACTGCCAATTTTGTGGTAAAGGTGTACATAATACATATAAGACTGACTAAAGTTGATGAAGCTGAAAACATTGGTCATAGCTATCCTGGTGTCCTATAGAGCAGTGCAGTGCATTATAAGTACAATCAGAATGACCAGTCACATTGAACTTTGAACTAGAATATTAAAGTTGGGTCAATACATGTAATGTCTCTGTTTCATCTGTTATAAATTCTCTAAGATCTATTGGTCTACAAATGCTCTCTATATGAATACTGACTCCTCTGTCATAAATACGATAATGAAAGGTAGACAAGAGGGTATTTTGTTGAGACTATAAAAGTTTTAGGTTAAATTCCCTTTCTTTCTTATAAAGTATAAATCTACGGTATAAGACAAAGTCTTATTCAATGCATCTACTATTTCACCATAATCTTTGAATGACTTTGCCATAGAATTAGTAGCCACATATTGTACATTTGCCAAGGGATCTAATTTTGCTTTGTTCACAGTCATCGAAGAAAACATGAAAAATAAAATCCAGCGAACATTTAATATAAATAAAAATGTAAGAAAATCTATGTTATTTAATTGTATACATGGATACCAATATAAATGACATATGAAAAATTTAATCAATGTGAAATAGTCCAAACTGACACAACTGCAAAATACTAGCCCCCAAAATTCAACAACTACACAGTATAGAAGACTCAATAGTTAAGTACAAACCTTTATCATACTAGCGCAGGACTGTCGTAACTTGAAGTCTCCAATGTATACATCATCTTTCTGTGGTGATATAACAATAAATAATTATGAAACACACAAGCATATTTTTTGTGAAGCAAGTTACCAAAATTTACATACAATTAGGTATCACTCCTTAACATATACCTTAGGCTTTTGTAATCCCAAAAATCAATTCTGAGTCAACTTTAATTTTGGGTGTGGTGAGTATAATAAATCAGAGCCTATGACATTGTTGTCACTGTTGATGTTTGATGTAAACAGAAATAAGAAATTCAGATATGATGTTGCCGGAGAGGGGGTAAAAGATAAGAAAATACCATCAACAGAATCATAATCATTACTCAACTTCAATTAAGCTAGGGCAAAAAATGAACAAAAGAAAGATTTACACAGAGACTCCATAAAAAGTACAAAGAGAATAAGACCAGGTGTTCCGAAAGAGTAGGCACCTTCTGCTTCACTGACCACACTGCAAAATTATCCCTGTGCTTTGGAGACTTTGGTGAACTAAAATTCTGAACTCATTGGTTGGTTGTGGGGAAGGGGGAGGGTTATGTTCTTTTGAATGACACAATGTCAAAATCCACTGAACTTATTTCACAAATGTGTCAATTTTCTATATTTAGACACAGTTAACTAGACAATAGAACCCACAAAATATACTCAAAACAGAAATATGTGATCATTCCCAATAATTAAGACACCATTGCCCAGACCATGTTACCTTGAAGAATAAACTTATTACATGCATATCTTTAATGATTCATGATCTTTGTATAAAGTTCAAACATGAATGAAAATTCAGTCCCTTCAGCAATAAACAAGAGGCCCATGGGCCTTAACGGTCATCTGACAAAAAGCAAGCCAAACCTAGAAAGTGGGTTGAGGTCATTCATTTGAACAAACTTGGTAGCCTCTCCTCCAAGCATCTTACAGGCCCAATATCAGCACTCATGGACTTTTGCTTGTTGAGAAGAAGTCGTTTGTATATTTTAACATATTTGACCCCTGTGACCTTGAAAGTGGGTTGAGGTCATTCATTTGAATAAACTTGGTAGCCTTTCCTCCCAGCATGCTACAGACCCAATATCGGCACTCATAGACTTTTGCTTATTGAGATGAAGTCCTTTGAATATTTTAACATATTTGACCCCTGTGACCTTGAAAGTGGGCCAAGGTCATTCATTTGAACAAACTTTGTAGGGCTCCATGCCAGCATGCTATGGGCCAAGTATTAGCCCCCTAGGCCTTCTAGTATTTGAGAAGAAGTTATTTAAAGATTTTGACATATTTGACCCCTGCGACCTTGAAAGTTGTTCAAGGTCATTCATTTAAATAAACTTGGTAGCCTTTCCTCCCAGCATGCTACAGACCCAATATCGGCACTCATAGACTTTTGCTTATTGAGATGAAGTCCTTTGTATATTTTAACATATTTGACCCCTGTGACCTTGAAAGTGGGCCAAGGTCATTCATTTGAATAAACTTTGTAGGGCTCCATGCCAGCATGCTATGGGCCAAGTATTAGCCCCCTAGGCCTTCTAGTATTTGAGAAGAAGTTATTTAAAGATTTTGACATATTTGACCCCTGTGACCTTGAAAGTTGTTCAAGGTCATTCATTTAAACAAACTTGATAGCCCTTCATCCCAGCATGCCACAGGCACAATATCAGCAATCTGAGCCTTTTGGTTATTGAGAAGAAGTTGTTTAAAGATTTTAACATATTTGACCCCTGTTACCTTTAAAGTGGGTCAAGGTCATTCATTTGAACAAACTTGGTAGTCCTTCATCCCAGCATGTCACAGGCCTAATATCTACACTCTGAGCCTTTTGGTTAATGAGAAGAAGTTGTTTAAAGATTTTAACATATTTGACCCCTGTGACCTTTAAAGTGGGTCAAGGTCATTCATTTGAACAAACTTGGTAGAGCTCCATGCCAGTATCCTCTGTGCCAAGTATTAGCCCCCTAGACCTTCTAGTATTTGAGAAGAAGTCGTTTGAATGAAAAGTTTACGGACGGCGCACGGCGGACGGCGCACGGCGGACGGCGACGGACGAAGCATGATGACTATAGGTCATCGGACCCTTCGGGTCAGATGACCTAATGATACTAAATCAGGACAAGATTTCACTGTCTCAAGCATCATACATGTGATAAACAACAACAATTTCATTTATTTATTATACACTAACAAAAGATGCTTGATCATTTGAAAGTTATGATACAGGCAGCTTACCTCTCTGACAAAAATGAGTTTAGAACATGTTGGACCAAGTTTCTTTGGGTGTTCCTTTAAACATTCAATTGCCTGTAAAAGAAAAGAAATTATGTGTAAGCTAAACATTCATTAAGTTGGTTCAGCGTTACTATGGACTATTTCCTAGTTTTTTCTCTTTTTTTTTCTACTGCAGTAATTCTACAGTAATTCTAAATGAAATTTTCTTGAATTAAGAATACTGTATAGCCAGTTATTTTCAGGGGGTGATACTTTTGCTATTTAATGGTACATCAATTCATTAATTTAATCCATGAAATAATAAGACAGGAGTACATTAGATATTTTTCTTTCACATCCAGATCACAAAAGTTAATTTGTTATAACATAATTTGGTCATTTAAAAAAAAATATTTTAAAAAATTAAACTGTGAAAATTACCACCTGTATGATATCCAGGTTATAAATAACTTTTATCAAAGGTTTGATTGCCAGCCTACTCTAAGGAAATTAAATATCTTGAAATACAACCTGGGAATCAGGAGTGGGATAAAGGTTTCATAGGAATAGCCCTAACACATTGTCCCTCTCCCTTAGCAGCAATTTCATTTTAAAAATAGCTCCCATTAACAATCTAATTTTTGTTTATTGGCCTAACAATAATCAAAGTTTTACTAATACTAACAACTAATTAAAACAAATTGCAAAGAAACACAAATATTTAAAGATCAAATTCAAAGCATCCTAATATAATTATTGAAGACTCTTGTGAATTCCAGATTTCCTAATCCTGATATATAGAGAAGGCATGTTAATGTCTTAAAATATAAGCTGTATTTTGGCTTGGGACACAAAGACAAAGGTGGCAAGCCTCATTTATTCCATTTATCCTGAAACACTGAGTAAAAATCAGACTTCTGAAACAGTCACGTTTGTTGTTCAATCTGTGTTTACCTGACATTGACGCTACCCTGAATTGAATTGTCTGATGACCGACGCCAAAATAATTGCTCTATGTGGAAACATATTTCCAAACTTCATTGATATAACAGCAATTCAACAAATTTTCATAAATCAACTTATAATATGTGAAATTGCCTATTTCAAGAATTATTTTAATTTTTGAACGCAATATTTCAATAAATTCAGAGGGTAATTCTGTTGGATTACCACACCTGCTAAAAAATACAACTGCATCACTGACGAAATACAGCAAAAAATATATGTGGCAGTGGCAGTCGCAGGATAAATCTATATTCTCCGTTTCTTTGGAGTACCAATATACCAAAACTAAGGTGTGAATGAAACTTTAAAAGTGTTACAGAATCATGAATACTTATGATCTCTAATCAGGAAAAAAAGGTATGGATTCAAAAGAATTAAATTTTGGGGTGTACCTTTTGGAAAGTTATAGAGAATTGTGTATATGCCAAGCGTTTGATGAAATGTTTGAAGATGTATGATTATTATGAAATTCTTAACAGACCATCAACACAAAAGGTCATTAAGGCCATCAACCGGTAAAACACACAGTGATCCAAAAGGAAATACTATAAGACAAACTAAAAGGTAAAAGACAAACACTAAAAATCTTAAATACGGCAAGAAATATTGAGGCGTTGTTCGGTAGCCGGCATCCATAGGTTTCATCTTGTGTAACCATGGCCACAGCAACCTTATCATTATCTTTTGAACCATCAGTATATAAATGTAGAAATATTTTATATTTTAACTGCAATTTCGAGAAGGATGAATGAAAAGTGCAACTGTCAGTGTCTGATTTAACCATTGCATGAAGTGAAAAGTCAACTTCAGGTCAATTCAAGAGCAAGGATGGAATTTCTATCGTTCCAAATGACTTCATTTGGTCAATATATTTGTGTTCAGTTAAAGAGTGTAAATTTGAATACCGAATGGCGCAATGGTCTTTGGTTTATTTTGAAACAATGTTTTATATTTTGGATCAAATACAAGTGAAAAAGAAGGATTTGAATAATTGACTTCAGCTGAATAGTGTACTGCAAAGCCAATTTATTTTGACGGCTATATACATAGAGGCTTGCTGTAGGTGTTGTCTTAAAAGCTCAGAGAGCCAGCCTCAGACCCTGGTGATGAACGATGTCTAATAATTTGAGATATAAAGGTCTTGCAGATTGAAGATGTATGAAAATATGGTCTGGTGATCTTTAATAGTGATAAAATGTTTTCAGTATTTTCACACTTCCTTGTGAAGACTCTAACAACCAAATTAATAAACAGTAGCTCCATCAATACCTTGTGCCAACAGTTTGAGCAAAGAGAAAAACAAGGAAATATGAATCATTTGATTTGGAATGAGATTAGATTTTTCAAAACATGCTTAAATAAATGAACATCAATTACCATACCTTTGCATTGCCATGCTCCACACCTGAACAAACAGTTTCCAACTCTTCCCTACATGCCATTTTAAGTTGAGGGTCAAGGTCAATTTTTTCGCCCTGCAAAAAATTTAAGTAAGCTAATCATGATTGAAAGAACTGTTACCAGGAAAATTAGTGTAATGATACATTTGTGCATCCACAATGATAACTGCAATTTCCCCAATCCTACTTCAGTGCAATACTTTCACTGTGAAAATTCAATTACAACTATGAAATATACAGAACACAATATTTTTTATGCTGTATTACATACACTCTACATATATACATATTAACATTACTACAAAAGCTTTACATAGCCCTTTGTAAATTTTCATTCCATAAAAGAACTTTGAGAAGTCCATATTTTATTTACTATTTGCACAACTCTAGTGAGCTTAAATGATTACAATGACACGTTTCACAAATTTCAACTGAAAATACCAGTTTTTCATGTTGATCAAAGCCAAATATTTAGCGAATATTTGTCATGGTGACTTGATATCTACAATAAATATTTTGATATCACACAATTTTTTCATCCTAAAGGAAGTCATTTCTTCCAAAAAGAATTTCTTTTGCTCACTGTCACAACACAAAGATGCCCTTTTTGATGCACAACATAATATAATTGATACACAGTAAAACAAGTTAATTTAGTCATGTGGAAATTTTGCAATTCAGAGTCAAAACTGGAATATGTAATTTAAGCCATGTCAGATAATGACGTATTTGCCATAGTGTGGTCAACTTTTCTCAATTAAGATTCACTAGTTCCATATTCGCAATGCAATCCTATGATGACAGTAGCAAAAATTTTTAAAAAGCGTGGAAAACCTGAAAAAGATCCTAGTTCACTTACCCTCTGAAGGACTTCAAATCGTAGCTGTTTACGACAAATCTTTGATATCCTGTGTTTTCTCTCCATGACCGTGTCATTTCTCACATGTTCACTCAAACAGGACACCACCTCGTATCTAGTAAATCAACAAAATGAATTACAATTGTTGGACACTTTTCTTCCTCTATGCCATAGCTGTTCACTTATTGTTTTTACCTGCCTTAATGACGAATACAGGTAAAACCTGTTACCTGTATGTGATCAAGATTGTTTTATTAACACACAGACACACTGTCTGAAACAGAACCTCATTCCAAATCTTTAACTCAAATGAGTTTAAGAATGTCTGTCCAAAAATGAGATAAAATATATTTGAACATACACTGGTAACAAACTCTTTTTCTTGAACATATTAAACAAAAATTGCATCAAAATCTCTTTGATTCAACTACAATTTACCATCCTTTCCAGGTAGTCAGAGTTAGTAGACACTGACATTGGTATGATATCACAGTTGAATCACTGAAGCACAAATGTGGCCTGAGTGTTCGAAGTAGCATGCCTAATTAACATTAACAAATATTGATGACACACTCAATAAATATATTTACCGGGCAAAATTTACCTCAAACTTTTATCCATGCAAAATACTAAAGCAATTGCTAGTGTAGGTATTAAATAGACCATAAAATATCTACAAACTTATTTTGAAATGCTGTATTGTTTTCATCCCTATAAATTAAACATCATGTATTTTACAACAAGTGCAAAATAAATAATCCCAACTCCTATTTTGCACTCTTCTTGACCCAGACAGAAACCCTCGAAGGATCTTACTTCAATCGATCCTTTCAGTTTGTGTTTTTCAGGGAGAAGAGATTACAAATTTTATTACAGATTTTCCTGTGTTGTTGTGGCCGAGACCTAGGATAAAACAGTTCATCCTCATTCCTTTAGATAATATGTAGTAAGTATGATGTTCAGTGAAGTAGCCCCCATACCCCAGTTACTGCAAGGAGGCTCTGCCTTAATATGACACTAGCTGATTTAAATGTGATAAACTTTGCAAACTAAAACATTAAGTAAATCATTTGTCTATCTTGCCAGACTGCAATACATACATTTAATTTATCTAGCAAGACTGCAATTTACATACTTTGTCTACTGAGTCAGACTGTGATATACATACTTTGTCTACTGAGTCAGACTGTGATATACATACTTTGTCTACTGAGCCAGACTGTGGTATACATACTTTGTCTACTGAGCCAGACTGTGATATACATACTTTGTCTACTGAGCCAGACTGTGGTATACATACTTTGTCTACTGAGCCAGACTGTGGTATACATACTTTGTCTACTGAGCCAGACTGTGATATACATACTTTGTCTTCTGAGCCAGACTGTGGTATATATACTTTGTCTATCCAGCCAGACTGTGGTATACAAACTTTGTCTACCCAGCCAGACTGTGGTATACATACTTTGTCTACCCAGCCAGACTGTGGTATACATATTCTGTCTACCCAGACGGACTGTGATATACACACTCTGTCTACCCAGCCAGACTGTGGTATACATACTTTGTCTACCCAGCCAGACTGTGATATACATACTTTGTCTACCCAGCCAGACTGTGATAAACATACTTTGTCTACCCAGCCAGACTGTGATATACATACTTTGTCTACCCAGTCAGACTGTGATATACATACTTTGTCTACCCAGTCAGACTGTGATATGCATACTTTGTCTATCCAGCCAGACTGTGATATACACACTTTGTCTACCCAGCCAGACTGTGATATACATACTTTGTCTACCCAGCCAGACTGTGATATATATACTTTGTCTATCCAGCCAGACTGTGATATATATACTTTGTCTACCCAGCCAGACTGTGATATATATACTTTGTCTACCCAGCCAGACTGTGATATATATACTTTGTCTACCCAGCCAGACTGTGATATATATACTTTGTCTACCCAGCCAGACTGTGATATATATACTTTGTCTACCCAGTCAGACTGTGGTATACATACTTTGACTTCTTTCCTTTACAATACATCATCACATTTTCTTTACACGCCTCTTTGAACTTGTGATTAAACCGGAAATCTTGTAATGATATCTATAAAAAGAAAACAGACACTTTGACTAAAGAAGTAAAATTTAAATAAAAACATGAATATGAAATCATACAATTTTTTTTTACTGCAACAATTATTTTCCAGGATGGAATAATATACCTAAAAAGAGTAACACTGACATTAAATAGAAACCCACTCTTTTATTACCTTTGTGGAAATACATAATTTTTTTTATAAAATTGAAAATTTTTCACCAAAAAAAAAAAGAAAAAACAAGGTTTAGTAAATTTATAGTTATGACAGATTTCAAACAAGATTGATGCTGTCTGGAAAATGTTAACTAATTATAATATGCTAACATCCATATTCATCCTAAATTCTAACACAATAATAAGCCATACACATTGCATACATACTGATAAGAGCCTTACAATATAATTGTGAAGAAGATCTGCTGAAGATAACCGAATGTATTGACAGCAGAACTGAGATTTAAATTGGAATTACCTCCCCATCTCCTGAAAAGGTCACAATCAGAATAGTTCTGATGTGGAACTATTTTAAAAGGAGATAGTGTCGTAGGAACGTATCATGAATCCTTAATGAACCTACAGTAGCCAGTAAGGAAACTCACAATCTGATGATGTTCTACTCCAGCAGCACATTTTTCATCCATTGACTGATCATGTTTATTTTCTATGAGACAGTCCATAACATCTTCAGCATCAGCATCCTCCTCAATCTCCTGATATATAAAAGTAGGTCATATATGGATAAATTCATCTAAGTGAATGAGGAGGAAGTGAAAAGAAAAACTGATAGAATTAGAACTTCATGATAATGATTTATAAATATATTGAGAACTGACCTCCCTACAGAATTTCTTTATCATGGGCATACAGGATTTCATGACAAGGTTGTCAAGCTCTAGATATGTGTCCTGGTTTTCTGTGATGTTACCGACCACTTCCTGACAGTCATCTTCCAGATCATCGTAGTTGTCTTGTAGGCATGCCAACTCCTGAAAACAAAATATAAATCTCATTTATTTAAATATACAATTCATAAAAACAATTGCTCGGTGAGTATGAACATCTCCTAACAGTCCTCAAATACAAACTGTGGTAGGTACAATCTGATACATATCTTACCTCGCCTTTTTCGTATTTTTCTGATTGGTCATCAGAACAGTATCGTCCAAGGTCAGTTACACACTTAGATTCAATATCCGTGTCCAATTCCACTCGCCTTGCCCGATGTCTCATCACTCGGAGGATTTCGTGTTTACAAGCCCGAGAGACCTGAATTTACAAAAGTACTGGAGAATGCTTTTTTGAACAATGTATTTGGTCTTGTTTATGAATATTTCAAAATATGGAGGTAGTTTCAAGAGTTGGTTCATTTTTCATGAAAGTTCATGTTTTCTCAAATGCATGTAATTGTGTACATATCTCTCGTAAAACAATACTAGCAATAAAACATCAACAATGCTCTCAGTATAAAGACAACAAATAATCAAAATAAAAAAAAGTGTCAATGCATGACTGTAGTTAATTTCTTATTTCAAGAAAATTAATTCTTGTTTAAACTCCCAATGTTCAATGATATTTATCTCCAATAGGCTACATATGATAGCATAAAGAATATATTGTATTGAAGATCTGTACAATTTTTCCAAAAGATCAATAAAAGAAAACCTATTATCATCAAAACTAATGTTGTTGTTGCTGATTTCTATTACCCTTCAGATATGTGTTATCATACCTGTAAGTTTGCATCAGTGTCATGATCTTTCATGTGACGGAACAGACAGGGTAAAACCATAGGACCTACGTCCACATTCGTTGAATCTTGTTCTATCCAGGTTTTTGGAGCATGACACAGTTTGAAGGCATCCTGGTGACAATGTCTGTACAAAGTAGCATCTAATCTGTAAAGAAAAGACATGACTCCATCATCAGACAAAATTTTCAGGGAGGTAATCATTTTTTTTCTTTTATTCATGCCACTTGCCTGTAGATTTTCACAATCTTTTTTTTTTGTTAATTTTTGTTTTGGAGGGAGGTGGGGGGGGAGGTTTCTCATGATGCTTCCCTAGCTATGAATTAATTTTGAAGTATTATTGATAGTGTACAGTTCTGTTGCTTGACATAGGTTTACTAAAGATCATCAACCAATTACCATCACACTGGTCTGTGTATGTATTGTTAAAGTCCTGTTCAATACTTACTTTGTACAATCACCTCTTATTACATGCAATAAGCATGTCTGAATGATGAACAAAATATGAAATCTGGACAAGAGAAGGTAATACAAATGAGCCAGAAACCAATTCTACATCTAATTGAAGAATCCAGCCCTGATTACTTCCAATGACAACTGACCATCAAAATTGTCAATGAAGCCATATCCTTTTCAATATCTAAAATATACCACTAAATTTTCAGTGAAGAGATGAAAATGAAGAAGTACAACTGATTTTTACCTGAAATCCCTCACAATGAAGTACTGTATTTGCATTAACTTCTCCTCACAAATATCTGTCATATGTTCTGAATCAAGGTGGTCCATCAAACAGTTGATCACCCTGAAAACAAAATGAGACTTATAAACAGTATAAGACACCTCTCAACACCAGTTTTTTGTGACAAATTATTACTATCTAATGATTATCTATTTCTAATTTATTTGTAATGGAGACGAATATAGTCTGTTCTGACAAAGATAATTTGCCAGTAACTTATTGTGATGCCATGACAACAAAAGTAGATATCTACAAAATAAAGTTGGTTTAAAATAATACACTAATGTTGTTTATTTGTTGCAAAAGTGTACAGGGGTAAAACTTTGAATAAATATGTTATGTGTGTATTGAATTGAAAAGAGTTTTGCTTTTATTTCTAGTCTGTCTACTCACTCTGCATCTCCAGGCTGAATGTCTTTGCAGACAACATTAACCACATCCTGACAGGATTTCTTGAGGTTTCTGTCCATACGGAAGTCACTACCAACATCCGCCTCCTTCACCAGGCTCTCAAGCTACAACAATTTTGTTGTTTCGTTTATTACAAATCTAAACTGGACATACAAACAATATAAGTGCTAAATCAATTTCATCCTTTAAATATCCGTAACTCAATGCACATTAAATTTCTTTAGTATGCTAGTCTCAAACAAAATGAGTTACAAAAAAATAACTAAAGATAAAAGCAAGATGAAACATTACACACTGTACTTCTCCCACAATAACTTTAGTGGGCAACTAAACATGTTTCTGGATTTTAAGTCTACTTACAGCTCTCATACAGGGAGATGACAGCTGAGGGCTCATCTTTTTGTTTTGCTTTCTAGCATGATCCATCAGACAGTGAATGGTTGCTCCTCCTCGTTCCAGCCCTCCGTCACACAACTTTACAATCTCAGATTGGCAGGAGGCCACTATTTCTGGATTAATCTTGAAATCTGACATTAGACTTTTACGCAGATCCATCATCTCGGCAAGACATTCTGGCGCAATGACTATATCTGAAACCATTGTTAAGACAACCTCCATTACAAGCATCTAGTTAACAGCACCTATCCTGCAACAAGCCCTACTGACTGACAAACTACCTCTTACTTGACAATAATCCTGTTTGTTGGTATATAGACAACTATAGATATGGGTGGATTTATTAACAGTAAGTGAGCTGATCACCAGACAAATAATGTATTCACTTCAACTTTCATTACAATTTCATTTACGAAACAAAATGCTGAGTATTTACTGTATCAAGCTATATATGACCCTCTCACTATCCTGTTGCAACCTTTTTAGCTTCAATCCATTTTGACTGGTAAACGTCCATGATACTTACCCCTCTTATGGGCACTTTCCAGACAAAGAAGGACAGATGCACGACTGGCATCATCATCATTGTTGGAACTTCCTGCCGAGAAGCAGCCATTTGCCCTGATATCTAATCGGCAGGCACCGAAGAATGATTTCTCTGCTTTTACATCATCAGCTATCAACCTTTGTCTGACTGTCAGCTTGTCTCGACACTGCCAAAACAAAAGAACAACTTCAATTTTGCTTCGTTTTCCTTACTCATGAAGAGCTATAAGAAAGATTTTTTTTCTAAGCAGTGCAAAACGTGTACAATAAGTACAAAATCAGATGACAAAGCTGAAGACAACACAATAGCAGCTTATCACAATCAATCTACATTTCCCAAGGTAAAAAGAAAAGAATTTTACAGTTTAACACGTTACCTACATTGAAGTCATCTTTTCCTTAAAAAAGATTAAAAAAAAAAAATTCCTTAAAATTCATTTTTTATATATATTTCTCAATTTTCATGCAGATGTTTATTTTTTGAAATGTCTTAGTGTTAAATAAACAGATAGAGAAAGATTTATTATTTATAATTGTGTCATCAAAGAGAAAGATCAAAATCAGCTTTTGAATATTCATTTGAGATGTTACTGTCTTATGCTTATACCTCATCTGACATTTCTGGATCAAACTTGTGTTTGAACAGACACTCATAGACCCTTCCCTGTCCAGCAACAGTGCTTTCACAGAACCTCTCTCGGTCAAGGCGACAGGCATAGTATAAAGGCCTATCCAGATGATAGTCATCTGCTTGAAGCTCAGCTACCCTCAACAACTGTTTCTTACACACAGGTTTCAGCTGGCTTATCTTCTTTGCCAAACAGTGTAATGTCTTTCCTTGTGAATGAACAGCCTGTATCATGAAATGAAATAATTCTTTGACTTAACAATTCATAATTTCAATGTAATTGTGACAAATACATATTGCATATAGAGTGACACTTTTGCTGAAGTTTAAAGCCTGCTTCACCCTTTTACCAAAACAGTAAGAATAATCTAGTCTGATGTTGAAGCTGAAATATATGTATCATTGTTGTATTACAGGGTAAAATTAAGACTTGGAAAATAAAGTATTCTGTGAAGGCAAGAAAACTTCTGCAAATGTTTCCCCTGTACATGTATAATGAATCACCTTTTGTCTACTTATATGTAGGACTATTAAATGACTAAATTGACATATTGTCCAAAAATGTTTCCTTAGTAATTCAAATCTTACATTTGTCCCAAGTTGTACTCTCAAGACCTTGATAGATGCCAAATTTGGCATTAGAGTACTCATGTCTTTTGAGTAACTGATTGAAACAAATATTTTGAAAGTTTTGCTTCAAGCTAGTAAAAAACAGAATTTGAGGTTGACAACAATGCCAATGAAAAATGAGCTGAACAAATTACATCTCAGTTCTACATTTTTTGTTATAGCTAAACAAATCAATAGAAAGAGAAAATCTCCCATCTACTTTTTTTTCAACAGTTAACATGTCATATGTGACATGAATATCTAAATATGAACCCATTAAAAAAGATCATACCTCTTTGTGATCAAACGACAACCTTCCACATTTATAATTAACAATGTCCTCATTACACTCCTGCACAAAGCCGTACACCATGCGGAAGTCACTGAAGACGATCCTTGCCATCTTGTTGAGGTAAGTTCTACAGTTCTTATCTGTGATGTTTTCCACATTTTCAACCAGACAAGGAATGATCTGTCCCTGTCCCTTTTGTAAATTGGCACACTCAGGTATCTGTAATAGAATTATTACGTTTATCGATGAGCAATGCTATCATTCAGATTTTATTATCTAAAAAATAAAATGACTCAGAAAAATAGAGTTTGCTGTAGGCCATTGTTTTCTACTTTTGTGAGCTAGACCTTCAACCCACCCACTCACCCCCCGCCCCCCCAACCAAAAACAAGGCCCATTGTAAAAGTTTTAGTATAGTAATATGATTATCAACAGTTCAATTAATATAACAGGTTATATTATGACCGAATAGATGTGATACAATCAAACTAACTCTGTCTATTTTCCATTGCAGAAATATTGGAATTTGAAATTTCATTACCTCATTAGTACATAAATGAATACAAAACAAAACAGGTCATACACAGCGAGCCATATGAACTCCCTACAAAGTAAATATGTATGTAGGGACAAGAAAACTATTCCAACATCAATCTATTGCTTCTATCGATCATGATCAAGCTATCAAGCATGAAAACATTGATAAAATGTACTTAATTTGCTATAGCAGCATCTCAACAAATATATCACTAGGGGTGTTGAGTCAATGCTGTACTTCTTGTGTAGGTATTGTAGGTTCCGTAATCCCTGGCTGGATACTCCAAGGTATGCAGGGCGATTGAAGAATAGTAGGAACTAAGAAGGAAGTGTGGTCAACTGCAACAAACTTAAGATCTTCAGTGTGATAACTTTATTAATACATTTACCGGTAGGCATTTTAATAAAGTTATCACACTGAAGATTCTAAGTTTGTTGTGATTGACTTTCAACAAATACATGTAATTGACACTGAAATAGGTCATGAAAATCCTCCCTTTATTTGGGAATACTTGGTTGTTTATTGTACCTGTGAACACTACCAAAATGAGTTTCAGCTGTTCATTTTGAAACCTAACTCGAAACCTACTTGATCATTATACAATTGCCAATCTAGCTTGTAGGCGACGGTTGGTTATGACCTGGGTTGAGACAAGAAACATACTTCATTCCCTCTATACAATTGAGTGATGATAAAAAAGAAACCACAACATATCTGATGTATATTATAGACCTAAAACTAATAAATATCATATCTTACATCTTTAAGCTCTTTCACACAAACTTCATCTGCAGCATATTCAAATCTGTCATCCATGGTCAAATTCTTTTTGTACTCCCAAATAAACTGCAACATAACAAAGCAACATATCAGTAATAACAAACAGTTACATTTTACACTATATCATATTTCATATTCATCAAGGTTGTTTTCTTAATTCCAATATGCATGAAATTTTTGTTTAACAGAAGTAAAAAGTCATGGCATATTCAGTTTTATTTTATGGTGGCAAAACCATTTACTCAAAATATTTTTATGTGTGCAACTTGAATAAGTGATTGCAGCAAGCGCAAGCATGCACGCATGCACACACATACACACAATGATAATGTGATGTAATGTATGGTGTTTTATCTCTGTAGGGGCATTACATTGTGTATACATACTTAACAAATTATAAAATGCAACCAGAAATGATGTTGTATTTCTGTGAAGCACACCCCAAACACATTCCCCCACCCACTATTTTCATCATTCAACAAGTATGAACTCTGTTATACTTTTTCAATGTTAACTGAACCAAGTCTCTGTAGCATGAAATGTGGTTAAATTCAGAATTCATGACCTGCATTCACTTCTGTAAACCGATTTAAAGGTAAGAATGGGTTACCATCCAGGTATGTTAAAATCTGTTAAATCTATTTCTATGATTTCAACATTTTAATAAGTTCTTTCAAGATTTGGAGCCAAATCATAACATCATGGCACTTTACAGTCAACAATTTTGTTGCAATCTTTGCAATCATCAGAATTTCTCCAATTTCCCTTAATATCACATCAATTTGATCTTAGTTCCTAGATATACTATCCCGAACGCTCATCACAGTTCTCTCAAACTTTTGCGATTGCAGACATCCAGACTGGGGCCTTGTGTAAACGCATGCAGCCTTTCAAGAACAGATCTTACATGATGTTTACAATAATCCACAGTATGACTTTAACTCCTCTTTCAAATTGCGTTAATACATATGCAGAGACAAAGTTTCCTATAATGACATTTTGTTCGCAAACAATTGAAGAGTGTGTATATTTTCCAATGCTTAAGTCAAGGTATAACTTACATGTTGACATGGGTCACTGATTTCTTCTGCAACCTAAAATAAATGAAATAACATAACTATTTGAATATATCAATTCATAATACATTAAAGATAACCATACAATATGCGTTGCTATACAGTGATGAATATAGAGACTATATATTACTTAATACATACAATCTTAAATTTTGTGGGGGATTTCTTTTTGTTGATTCCATGTATATTCTTAAACTTTAAGAGATAGTACACCAATGGCATTTAAGACAGTACTTGAAAGAGTTTAGGATTGCATTGGCACCTATACAATTTCCTCAGAAAAAGTATTTCAATAATTGACTACTTCCTTGGCAAAATTTCCTTGTGTTAAAGAGGTCCTGTTGGTTCTTATAATTTCCTCTCACTAAATAGTTTTGTACCATTTACCTTGTTAAGGTAAACATAATAAAACGGTGAAGAAGTCAACATCTCTTTCTGATTTGTTACAAGTTAATACTAAAGCCGAAGGGAAAATGTGACAGTAAATACATAACTGATGCGTTGAAGTTCTGAAACGTCTTATAAAACTACTTAATTTCAGAAAAATAAATTTTAAGAAACGGAACACTTCAAGGAAAACTTCAAAACAAAGTAATCTAACCTTAGGATCTCCTTGTAAACAATCTAAAATTGCAAAATTATTTTTCATTGATTTCCGGCTGCAATGTGAAATGATGTCTGCACTGCATTCCGCAGTTTCTGCTAACTTAAAAGCTTTCTTGTGCATTCTCGACGGATTTCCTTCAATTTTGAATTTCTCTCCAGCTCCTCCCAATGGAATATGTTGACGTCTTTTAGCGGTATTCGATTCCTTTCCTAGAAAAGACTGTCCTTGCCCTACACCCTGTGGTTGCATTACCATTTGCTTTCCAACGGGACCAACGTTGACCGGAGCCCCACCAACTGGGGCTCCAGCACCGACATGGGCTCCATCAATGGGCTTAACAAATTGACTTTTTTCAGGAACGTTTTCATTTAAAGCTTCGACCGATTTACGTTTAACCCTTTGTAATTCAATTTCATCATTATTCTTCTTCTCGACAGTTTCTTTTCCATAAATTACGCAAAATGACAGAATCACGATTAAGAGCAGTACACGTCGGCCACAGGCAGCCATTTTGACCAAACAACATCTATCGTCATACATGTCAATCCGATGAAAAAAAATAGTATTTATTTCAGTAAAATATTCTAAATAAGCAAATTTGTTACAATTTTAGGATAAGTCTAAATGTGTTTATAGTGCAAAAATCTGATTAACAACCACAGGCTCGCAAATAACTTGCATCTCCTACTTTGAATTGAACGAGAACTACTTTATTGGTGTTCATACGCACGGAGATTATAAGTTTAAGGGTGGTAGAGAAAATGTATCCGAATACATGCTTTCGCAACCAAAAACTTAGCATTTGAGCTCAATATGTGAGCTGATAAATCTGTATGAATTGCATGTTGCTTATGAAATATCAACATAACCAAGTGCATTCAATTTTAAATATATACATGGATTTTGTTATGCATGTCTTTACCATTGATATAATATAATATAATATAATATAATATAATATAATATAATATAATATAATATAATATAATATAATATAATATAATATAATATAATATAATATAATATAATATAATATAATATAATATAATATAATATAATATAATATAATATAATGTAATGTAATGTAATGTAATGTAATGTAATGTAATGTAATGTAATGCAATGCATTACAATACAATACAATACAATACAATACAATGTAATATAATATAATTCAAACTGAAAATAGCTAAAACTGTGGACAAATATTCACAGATACCATTTGAACAAAAAGCAACAGGAATAACACAAGGCACATGTTCTGTAAGTGTATGCATCTTCTGCTCCATCAACAACATATAAACTAGAAACCAAAATCATGCCAAAAAAACAAAAATTGGAATGATGATAATGTAACAACCATGCCCACAAGCATTGAACATATTAAACATCAGATCAAATGAGAAAATAGAATGTCCAATCACGAAGTTAGATGTTCATGTAGATGGATTGGCAAATGCCAAGAATCTTTGCATGTGTATTGTATAGCTTCAGTGTTGGCGCTGCACAGCATAATATTGTGTTGCACAATTCACAGATAAATACATTTTTATCATAGTCCATGGTCAATGGTCAATGGAGATAAGATTATTGTATTTTTGCATTGTATACCTCAAATGATTGTGTCTTTGTGTGCGCAAGGACAAATAATATAGATATCTGTTTTATTATATATCCTTGGTACATCTCATACAGCTAAATGGAGACCTTCTTGCGTTTGCAAAACAAATACTGCAACAAAACAAATAACAATGTCGATTTCTACAGATGTTATCTATGTCTGTTGTTAGTCACGTGTTGCAATTAGTTACTGGCTTACAGAAAAAATGTACACATAACTGATTCCAATGAAATGTAACTTGGTTGAAATGGTTCAGGTGGTCTGGAATTATTGCACTATATGTGATGTTGGACCTGATTTATGTAAAGCTCAAAATGCACAGTTTCGGAATTTCCTATCAAGCATAAATTGATTTAACTAAAATTGAGATATTATCCATTTCACTCATACTTTATGGCACAATGCTCCAGGAAATATGTAAATTCACCAAACTTACTTTTTATGTTGAAATTCTGAAAACTAATGATACTCATCAAATTAGTTTCATACAGGTACAGTTGGACCACTCAAAGTGCATGTGTCAAGTATTCCGCAGTCAAGCCTTGGACCTGATCTGTACCTGGCAGTTTTCTTTCAGGTTCAACCGGTCCAACCGTTTCAACTATTTATGCGAAAGCGCCCTAAGTCACTCAAGGATAGATTATTATGACTTAATCATGATGAAATGAAAGGGCATTTTCGTCCAAACAGTTCAATGGGTTTGACAACGGACTTCCAATGAGGAACTACGTGTGTTGGACCTGGTGATCTTTATCTTTCTGACAAGCCTTGACAAATACTCAAGATTAATCTATTAGAAAAGTAAACAAATCCGGATTCTGTTATTTTCTCCGTACTTATTTTTATAATTCATCTCGGGAAACGTTATTCTCACTGTGATCAAAGTAACAGAGACGCTTTGAAACTGCATCAACGTGGAAATTCGTGGAGAATATACATATAAGTCGATGATGTTTTAACGCCAAACACCTATACCGATTCATTAACGATTTTGATCATGTCTTCTTCTCCGAAGAAACGAAATGCGGATGGCAGAATTCCAAATGGATCGACTGGAAGTGGCAGTGTGATGGCTACCTTTTCGAAAGCGTTTGTCGCAGAAGCCGACTGGAATGATAAGGTTGTTAGATGCAGTCTGTTGGGCTGGCCGTGTTCTCTATTTTATATATACATATATTCTAACCATGGTCTAATGATAGCAGATCCTCAAATATGCAGTAAAACAAGTATAATATTTGTACATTACGTTGGAACACGCCTATTTCACGTTCAGTTTTGGTCTTGCATGTTGAAAATCGGATTTAATATCCCTGCGCATTAGTTTCGGGTCCTTTCAGAACGGTATTTCTACCTACCAAGACGACGACATCCCCCAACCAAAATTTACAATTATGGGTTGTAATATGTTCATACTATTTTTTTGAAAAACTTACCCGTGAAATTCCATTATTTTTCTTTAAAATATCCACAGATACTATAGCGACTTCAAATTCGCTCACCTGAAATGACGAACTTGTGTATCGGAAATGTGACTATGCTTAGGTGAAATAACTTACCCAACAGACTCATAAATACTTCCTACATGACCAACTGGCCACTGTCTTCAACATACTGATAAGGCCTGTTACTTGGGCGAAACTATATATCAAGGTCTGAAATAGGATTCCCACATTATCAGCATATGTAACTAGTCTTTGACTTTCATTCAGCGAAACATTAGATCTTAAACCAAGATATGGTACAGCAAAGAGTGGCTCATTCTGTCACTAACAGAAAAACTTTTAGTGCTACTGAGGTGCTGGAAGATCTTGTTGGCCAAGTTTATCGGATAGATGTAAGGATGCTTATCTTATTCTAATTTGTAAAATTTCTCATAAGCTTGTTGCTGTAAATAAAAACCTCTATCTAGGTTAGACTCAACACTCTCATCCTTTCTCCTGTAACTCTGGTTAAATCCTATAGCTGCAATATATATACTGCTCGGCTAGAGAGAATTTCTCTTTAGCTCAATCGGTTGATCATCAGACTAGTAAGCCAGAGGTCCTGGGTTCGAATTCTAGCAGAGGCATTGAAATAAGTAATGACCTCTGTTACAAACCAATCAAACATTCTACTTTAGATCTGACTGTCAAAAATACCCCTTCCCTAGAACTTTCCCAGAATGGAACCAGATGAGATCTTGTCACAGCCTACTTCTGTAGAGGCTTCAAAACCAACCTTATTTCTGCTTTATTTTTTGGTTTTTCCTGTGTTATCTAAAGGGTCCCAATAATAAGAAATCTTTTATTAAACAGTAACAAGTATTAAGTTTAATCCATTGACAATTTATTTGAATGGCCACTATTTCAAGATCTTCGAAAGAGTCTTTAGTAAGATGGGGGTGAATGCGAGATATATTTTGGCACCAGTAGTGGTCAAAGTATGACTTAAGAGTAAAGGAATGCTGAACTCATTGTAATGTTTTGGAAGTCACAATGGATTTATTTCTATGTAAATCAAAAATATCAATTAAAAACCACCTTATCTAGCCTGAAACAGTCTAGCTGCTAAATGTCAGCAAATTGGTCATTAAAAATCCTGTATCAGAAAGTTTTTTAAATATTTTTCAAACAGTCTTCCAGTCTGACTTTTCATCACCCTTTTCAATCCCCTAAAAACATTACATTGAAAAAGCAAAACTTAACTACTTCATTCCTCACTCCTCTTTCCATACAACATGCATGTTTTCTCTTTGTTTCAGGATGAGTTCCTCGATGTCATCTACTGGATGAGACAGATAATTGGAGTGATCTTAGGCCTTATATGGGGGCTCTTTCCACTCAAAGGGTTATTAGGTTTGGTTATGTAAGTACATGATAAATTCTGCAAGTCCAATATATATACAATCAGTTGAAAACAATACAATAGATCTGTCTCGGCACAGATGATGCTGCAGGTATTTTTGCACTGATTTACTCATTGCCTCATTTTGAAAATAAAATTGATGAATTGGTAAAGAATTTTTCAGGGGCAAATTACAAATTTTGGAATTTGATTTAAATAGGAATTAAGCTCAGTTGAAAATGGGGCCCATTATAGCTCCCAAAGCTCTCAAAATACACCCTGTTAACTGATGCATAGAACTCATCTATACTTGATAGATGTCTTCTCTGTTGATGGTGTCTTAAATATTTTGCTACTGATCAGAAACTGTAGACATAAATCTTAACATTGATAATGGTTAAATATAGCACAGTATGTGCACAACATAATTGTTTGACAAACTGCATAATAATCTGGGTTTTTTTTTTGTTTTGTTTGAATCTTTAGGTTTAATATAATTGCACTCATACTGGCATGAATGTCAATGAAAGGAAATATGGACAATATTGAACTTTCAATCTAAAAATATGTATTTTCATCAAAATATTTTTTTATTTCAAACTGATGCATGATATTTAAATTTTTCATTTCAAAATAAGTTGTAAACATATTAGTGATATCCATTTAATCAATTGATGATTGCGATGCCCTTAGTTACCCGGTATATACCAGTGTGCATATTGGTCTGAACTTATAATGATTTCTGTATTTGCAGTTTTTTTGCTATAAACTGTGGAATGATTTATCTGTATTATGGAAGTTTCCAAAAAGTTGATGATGAGGAGTATGGTGGACCAACTGAAATACTAAAGGAAGGTCTCATGACTTCATTCTCCACATTTTTAGTAAGTTGTCACCAATTCTGTATGTAATTCTACTTCAATCTTATATATTATTTGTTGTATTTCCTAGAAAGATATTTTTCCAGAATTATTTTTCTTGTAAACTTAAGCACTACCAGGTGAACAGAAAGGCCAGCAATCATGTATGATCAGGCTGTACAAAAGACACACAAGTTATTAGCATTTTTCAATCATTCAAATTCATTGTTAGATACAATAGAGCCAAATAATTATATAAACTACATCATACAGCTGTATCATCCTTCATCACTGATGCTAAACGCCTAAATTTTGAAATGTAAGAGGCGACTGAGGAAAATCAAAATTGATAAGAGAGAAAAAATGCTGATCTCCAGGTGCAACTAGCCGCCCACATTTCAATTGATTTCACAATTTTCATAAATCTGATTACTTCAGTACATGTGTTTGTTCTGTTGGTGACTTTAATGCTAAGGAAATTATTCTAAAATGTTTATGGGAAAATGGGAATTAGATAATGATTGTGCTTGACAAGATTTTACACAACTTCAGTCAGAAATTTTGTAGGATACTTTTAGGCAAGTCCAGAGCCTATTCCTAAATTTTGATAAGTCCCAAATTTAACTAAGCAATATAAGATTATCAAAATTTGAGTGATTCTCACAGGTCGAGGACTCAAATATCTGAGTCCCAAAACTTGTAGTGTTTGCTACTTTTGTTAATTTTTATGCCCCCGCCATTTATGGCCGGGGGCATATAGCGTTGCCCATGTCCGTCCGTCCTGTCGCGTCCCAAATCAGTATATACCACCTAACAACTTCATTCGGACCTTTCACTATTATTTCACATGGGGGGGGGGCATTCATGTCTTACAGACATTTTCTAGTTTTGTATGTATTTTGATTCCAGTGATCTTGTATAACCGATTCTCTATCTCGTTTCAGGTGACGTGGATTATTCTGTATTCATCACTATATTCAGACCTATAGCAGAAATAATATTGTAGAGGAGAGCTGGAATATCTCTCATAGATAAACATAAGGATAGTATCAGATTTGTAACTACTACAGCTGTTAAACATGTGGCCCAGGAACTCTGTCAACGGAGTGTCATCCAGACACTGTATCATATCAAATCTAAAACCCAACATCAGTGTGACAGGAACTCATACCACACTTCATACTGTGTATAATGACTAGAAAGGGAAAAAATGTGAGAGGTTTCACTTTTCCAGTTGCCATCTTTCCAATTTCCAATCCACATTGTCATTTGGGAAATCGTGAATATGGAAAACCTGTATATTTCTTTTCTATTTTGTTTTGAAGTCCTTTGCCTCCATTCATTTTTACCTCATAATGTTTTGTATTGTGTCATGTAGATCTTGTCAGTGTGTATTATTTAAAGCATATTCTTGGTAATGTAATGTACATAGTTATTTACAGGTAAAAACATCTTAAAAGTTACTTTTGATTTCCTGTACATGAAAATCATCATTAAAAACCGTGCTATACTTTACCTGGTAGATTATACATTTTGTACATCTCCAAATACTGTAAACATACTTAATTTGGCATAATCAAATTTTAGCATGTTCTCAATTTTTTCAAATGAGCACAAGCATGAATTATACATCTACTATGATTGGTATAAATATTAAACATTCAGAAAGAGCAGCCGGTGCAATTGTATTTTAGCACAATATTTTCAGTGGTAAAAGCACTAAAATAAGATTACCACTAAAATATTAGGTTTTAAGATTTTTGAAAATGTAAAGAAAAAAATGGTAGACAAGGTACTTTAAAATTTTCATTCATAAGAAAAACAGTTGTCATGAGGTGATTCTAATTCAGCTTTGCTGAAGTGGAATATAAACGTTGTAATGAAAGAATACTCAAATGTGTCTTTCTGTTCGTTACAAAGTTTCAAACTTTATATATGTAGTAAAGTAATATTCATAATTAGAAAGAAATTCATTGAATACTTTAAGAATAATTAGATTAGGCTTTTAACCAATGGTTGTTCATGATATTCCAGATATTGCAATGTTTGTCTTCATATCCATCCTACATTATTCAGTCAATGCCTAGTAATGAGCCCACCCGTATGTGTTACTGTTATGTAGAACTACCAGCAATTGATGTTTAAATGTCCTATAATATGCCCATTTCTGGCCATTGATCAGCAGTCAGTTTTGGCCATCTGGGCTTATGGTAGGACAAATATGTAAAGTTTGTGTATACAATAGTTACATGTGTTAAGTTTTGGAAAATTACATGTAATTTTACAACCTGAAATATTTAACGAAACCTAATTATCAGAGACATAATGGAAAATGTATTGTTATATGTTACTCAAGGAAATGTATTTTAGCTAGGGATAGAATTAAGAATTATGTTGTGTAAACTTTAAGATAAATTATTTGCTCATTTCAGTAAACACATGCTACTATTAAATCAGTATTTACATATATTACCGTAAATGTCATATACACACAGATTTGGGTAGAACAGTGTTATCCTACTAGCTAGTACCTAATGTTCATGTGAAATTGTGTGCTGTTGTCAATATCATCTAAATTGTTACAGTGTTGACATGTCCAGTGTTGTCCATGTAGTAAATGATGTATTATGTCATGCAATGGACAGGATTATATTGAGACAGAAGTCTAATAAATATATATATAATACTTGCTTGCATTCTTGTAGTTTTGATTTTCAGCCCACCTTCATCAGATAGAGGAATGGTGAATCGACTGTTTCTTTATTTGATCTATGGTCCATCCTTCAGTCCTTAAACAATTGTGGTTATTGCTATGGATCTTTAACGACTTTCATACGGTATATAGACCCACTTGGTGACCTGTTATAATCAATAATGACAGTTTGCTATGACAACATGTTGGAAATATACAGCTAGACCACATTATTAGCTCACCTGGTCCGAAGGGCCAAATGGACTTGCTAAAGGGGAATCAATTTTGTTTAAACAGTATTCTCTGCCCTTTGAGGCAGGGTCCATGAGGGAAAATTGAGCACATTCTTTAAAATCCTACTTCTCCTGTAGGAATGATTGGATTTTTCCCAAATTTAGTCTGAGGAATTGTTGGATGAAGGGGAATCAATTTTGTGTAAATGGTGGATCTCAGAAAATTGAGGCATGGGCCCAGTAAGGGAAAGGGCAAATTCTTTAAAATCCTACTCCTGTAAGAATTGTCGGTAGCTCAAATTTGGTCTGGAGCATTCTAAAGTGAGGGGGAATTGATTTTGTATAAACAATGGGTTGCAGCTCTCTGGGGCAGAAGGGACATGGCACAATATTGCCATAGCCTAAACCAGTCATGTCCTTGGGTTGGGACCACAGTCTGGTCTTGTTATTGGGTCGAGACCATAGCCTGGCTATGTCATTGAGTCAGGACTCTTGTCTAGATAGCCTGGCTGTGTCATTGAGTCAGATGATTCAGGGGGTTGGGACCATAGCCTGGCTGTGTCATTGAGTCAGGACTCCAGTCTAGATGATTCAGTGGGTTGGGACCACAGTCTGGTCTTGTTATTGGGTCGAGACCATAGCCTGGCTGTGTCATTGAGTCAGGACTCTTGTCTAGATGATTCAGGGGGTTGGGACCATAGCCTGGCTGTGTCATTTAGTCAGGACTCTAGTCTAGATGATTCAGGGGGTTGGGACCACAGTCTGGTCTTGTTATTGGGTCGAGACCATAGCCTGGCTATGTCATTGAGTCAGGACTCTTGTCTAGATGATTCAGGGGGTTGGGACCATAGCCTGGCTGTGTCATTGAGTCAGGACTCCAGTCTAGATGATTCAGTGGGTTGGGACCACAGTCTGGTCTTGTTATTGGGTCGAGACCATAGCCTGGCTATGTCATTGAGTCAGGACTCTTGTCTAGATGATTCAGGGGGTTGGGACCATAGCCTGGCTGTGTCATTGAGTCAGGACTCTTGTCTAGATGATTCAGTGGGCAGGGACCATAGCCTGGCTGTGTCATTGAGTCAGAACTCCAGTCTAGATGATTCAGTGGGTTGGGACCACAGTCTGGTCATGTTATTGGGTCAGGACCATAGCCTGGCTGCGTCATTGAGTCAGGACTCTTGTCTAGATGATTCAGTGGGCAGGGACCATAGCCTGGCTGTGTCATTGAGTCAGAACTCCAGTCTAGATGATTCAGTGGGTTGGGACCACAGTCTTGTCATGTCATTGTGTTGGGACCACAGTCTTGTCATGTCATTATGTAGGGACAATGGTCGAGTCATGTCATTGTGTTGGGACCACAGTCTTGTCATGTCATTATGTAGGGACAATGGTCGAGTCATGTCATTGTGTTGGGACCACAGTCTTGTCATGACATTGTGTTGGGACCACAGTCTTGTCATGTCATTGTGTTGGGACCACAGTCTTGTCATGTCATTGTGTTGGGACCACAGTCTTGTTATGACATTGTGTTGGGACCACAGTCTTGTCATGTGATTGTGTTGGGACCACAGTCTTGTCATATCATTGTGTTGGGACCATATTGTGGTCGTGTTACTAGGTTGGGACCATAATCTAGACATGCCATTGTGTCAGGATCATAGAGTAGTGATGTCAATTGGTTGGGACAATAGACTAGCCAAGTTACTAGATTGGGAACCCAGCAATGCAAGCAACCAATTGATTACAACTGTACTCATACCATTTGGTTCCGTCCACACCATATCATTACGTTGGAGTCACATTCCAGCCATGTAAAAATTAGTTCAGCTGAGAATAAATTTAGGTAATTTAATTACAGTCTGACCATGTCATAGAGAATAGGGCACAAGAAAGACCTGTCAATCGCTTTTGACCAGTCATACTAAGGGAATGTATTGGTGATTGTAGCCTTGCTGTGGTCACAATCTATTGGTATGACCTTACAGTCGTCCCAACTTGATTAAGCCTATGGGGGGTTTATGTAGTCCTAATGATCTCATATGAAATTTTCTTCCTGGTATAATGTGAGATTGTGTGTATTTGATGCTCGTAAGTATTACTGCCGGTATCTTGCTTGTTGACCTTGTTCTCATTTTGGGAATGTGGCATTACTTGGATTGACCAAGATTTACAAGGTGACATACCGGTATTTTCTTTGTTTCTATTGTTGTTGTTGTTGATGAGACCTGACTAAGGTCCCAGCTAAATGGCTTGACAAAATCATTTTCGTGCCATGCCTGTGGTCCTATTCAAACTTCGATTGCATTGGGTAACTATGGTCCAAACATAATGACTTTAATTTAAACCAATTAATATGGCTGGACTGTGGTTCGATCCCAATGGCATGGCTTTGTTCATTGATCCATAGTCTCTCCAGATTGCTGTGGTCGATTTACAACCAGGCCATGCTATTGGGTTGTGGTAACTAAAAACACACGCATGAATAAAGATTAAGAATTATGTTACATTATAGTGGCAATTCATATAGCTGTTTTGTCCTTCTAGGACTCGTCAGTGATGGCTAAGACCTAAATTTGAAACTAAAGAGACGAAAATTTGAAACCTAGGAGGAAACTCCACATGTATCTCTGTGTAATTCTTAATTTGTGTGAAAGCTGCAAATCTCATCTGATTTTTGTACAATCTTAGAGGGATTCCCAAAGGAAACATAATATGTATCAAATGTGTTATTCTTTCTGTTTTTCATGATTATAGGCAAAATATCTTATGTCCATCTACCTTTATTCTGGAGTAAATCAAATACACTTCCTATGTGCTGTAACATACATCCATATAGCCAGTACTGTGATAGGACCTTTCCAGCAAGAACTATCCACATATGAAATCATATCATATATATGCTGATATGACAAAATAATACAGTTTGCTTTTAATTCCTAAAGGATTTTGATAATTACTCCACCAAATAATAAAATTCGTCACATAGACTATTTTTGTGTAAAAACGGTTTTACCGTGCAGAGACTATGCAAGGATATGTTACATAGATAGGAGTAATATCGAAACAAAATTCAGCAAAACATGCATATTGTAATAGTTATTGTATTAACATAAAAGTTATCACAGTGAGTTCTGGTACATTGCACAACTCAAAAACGATATAGCTTAATGAAATTACAAAATGAAACTATGATCACAGAACTAATTCATTTAGAAATTGATTTTTGATAAAAAAAAAAAAACAAAAAAAACAGGAAATATCTTATTTTGGTAGTGAAAATAATGCTGAGTAAGAAAAATGAAAATAAATGAAACTAGTGTTATGGCACATAAAGAGAGGTACAATAGCAAAAACACATCCTAGTAAAAAGTGGTATTACTGATGGTCAAAGAACAGGTGGCTGAGTCAGTCCTTACCGACCAAATTGCTTGACCAGACTAAGCAGCATAAAAAACCAACTATAAGTATATCAGCTAAAAGAGATCAGTCACTTGCAGTGGCGTAGCAAAACATTTTTAGGAGTGTATGCTTTCAAGAAAGGATCAACTAAGTATATATCTCAATGGAATTCGAGTGTATGTTTAAGCATACAAGCATACATTATTGCTACGCCTCTGACTTGATCTTTGCGCAGATAGAGCAAGTACAAATGAAACCATCCCATTTGTGGATCAACCGTTGTAATTCGTTTGGGAGGCCGTTTGGAATGATTTCTTGCACTACCTTGAAGATTTTACACATTGAATGCTGACTGTATAGTCTCTCCTAAAATCATAAGCAGATTTTCTTAATTTCAATAAATCCTGTAGGTATTCAGGAGACAGCTTGTGGAGTATTTTTTTTAAGTACATTACTACTGATTTTATGTAAATGATTTTAAAGAATAGTAATTTAAGTTGTGATCAAAAATATTATTTACCCTTTCAACGAAAAAATAAAGATTTTCAAGTAAAACTTTACCACAAACTAAATACCTGGGTTTTTTTTGTTGGAATTGAATGTATCCGGATAATAATGTAAGGCCGTTTTGTTTATTATTTGTAATACCGGAAGTCAAGTCGAAAATCTGAAATCGGGCTGAACTTGTGAGACTCGCAGGTGTTCACTATTTTAGGAAGACTTAAGCGAAGGTAAGAATTTAAGGATAACATAACTTATAGATTTAATGTATTATTGGTCTTAAACCTCTAGTGTATTTAAACTGTCGTTGGAAGCCCGTCTTCATACTAAAAACATATCACATAGATGTGTACCGTTTCGTCACGATCACCTTCCAGTTAGGCCTACACAAATTCGAATTATTAAGACGAATTCATATCAGATCACTTAAAATAAAAAAAACGTCAAAAATAATTAGGACTTTTTTCATACGTTGATGAAGTTGACACCGTTTAAACAGTAAGCAAACTTGTTTTCGGAACATTTTTTTTGGTTGAAACTTCTGTTATAATCTTGCTCAAAAAGTTGATTGTACTTGGATCATTATTTTAATGTATACAACTTGGACGAATAATTGACTTTGATGAACAAACATATACATCAACGATCGCGAGCTCATTATGTATTCAGGTGTTAAAGGAGCGGGTCGGTGTGGGTTTCACGTACAGCCTCTGTCAAGTGCACTTAGCTTACAGCATATGCTTCTTTGGCTTAGTTGGTAGAGCTAGTCGATTTTCACACCAAAGCCCTTGGTTCGATTCCTGCTTAGAGCACTCAACAGGAATTTGTATTTGTTATTACATACCTCTGTGATCATAAAGCCTAAATGCTTCAATGCAGATTCAGAAGAATATTTGAAGACTCAAGCACTCAGCATCACATACACATTGATCATGATCTTTAAATGAGGAATGGATTTCTATACAAGTGTGCACATGGTAATATAATGCAGTTATGAAACATTTAACTCATTTAGTCTGCAGATTAAATAGCTTCTGAAGCTGAAGGCAATTAAAGTGACGTCTTCTAAGACCAGATTATTGAATCGCCTTGTCTTGAAGTTTATTTTGAAATACAGTATAAATGCACTGCTAATTTGAAAATTTCTTTAAAAACATTTCTAATCAGTGCAGATTTCTAATGAAATTGTAATTTACTAAAGAACACTTTAACACCTTAAGTTCAGAACAATTCAGCATTGAGTTCCATGTACATGTCTAAATACTTGTTTAATAGTACATTGTGCATGTAGGTTGTTGTCAATTGAAGTTGACAAGACTTATCAGTATTGTTCCACAGTTCACAGGGTATTTGATAGTGTTAAGTAATACTTGTTCCATCTTATCTAAGTATTGTCCATAAGCAAATGACATGAACAAGACATTTTATTGAGAAATTGAATCCAGTCTCTTTGAAATGGAAATCTGTATTGAACTGTACATTGTGATATGTTAGATAAGAACTGTACATGTATCACTACAGATAGAAACTCATGAGATTTTGAAGGTTATCAAATACTGGCGATAAATTCCAATACCTGGGGGTTGGAAATAATATTGTTGATGAATGAAATTTCCCACAGATTTAGTTTTTCTTGAAATTTGGTAATCAAATTGATTAGTTCAATCAGTACTGAAATTAGGGCAAACATTCATTTAGATATGATAATAATGCATATTATGACAATGGCAGTAAATACTCTATGGTTTATTGTATAGAAATAGTAAATAGATTTTAAAACATTTAGTAAAATTGGTAACAATATGATTTAATGAGTTAATTTATTTTTTTTTTATTTTGAAAATAATATTAATTATACTTTATTCTGAAGTTAAAGTTTTGGATATGTACATGGTGCAGACAAAGTTTGTATGGACAGTCTTACTCATTGACTGTCTAGCTTTTACACCGATCTTATTTAAATGTAAACCAGAGTAAAAGCTGTAATCTGCTCTATAGTATAAAGTTCAGATATTTTGTAGCAAAATTGATAAGACCTGGAACAGATGGCTGGAATTTAGATTTAATAGATAAATTTACATGAGGGCCCAGTATCTGTGGAACGTTATAATGTACAGTGATACATCAGAAACTACCACTCATATATGACTGCAATTCAGTTTAAATTTTAAACATGGTAAATATTAAGATAATGTGTCCAAATTTTACATTACCCTGGTAGATTAACTGTATAATGAAAAACAAATGATTTAGATTTACTGTGATTTCCATAATTATTGAGGAAATATTATTTTCTTTGATCGTTTTACACCAAAGCTGTCCATTTTGTTTACATATTTTTGTATGTACTTGAATTTTTTAAGACTCAAAAAGATTCAGAAATTGGAAAATGTACTTTCAATGAGTGTATACTGATATTACAAGACATGTGCTGTTTGAAGCTTTTGCAGATTAAGAACAAACCAATTAATTTATATGAAATTGACAATTTCTTTCCACTATTACGGTTTAAACACTGATCAACGCATAGGTTTCTTATTTCTCTTTTTATAGGGACAAAGTTCTGATGTTCATCTCAAAACTGATGAAAAAAAGTCGTTAAAACTTAAGAATAATTTTGGCTAACATAAGCTTTTTCTACGCTAGTGAGTTAAGACAACTATCTAGCCACATTCTTCAGCAATAGTCCCAGAGAGCCAAAAAATTACTTCCAATTGACTTAAAGTAATGGCTTAATGCAGGTCAATGGTATTTTACTAGCATTTCTAATGAAGAGCTAATAGATGTGACTGAGCTTATTACCAAATATGGTGAAAGGCTACACTGGTATTTAGATAGTTTGTGTGTGTCACTTTGGTGATGGTCAGGTCACATGGGTACAAGCATAGGTAACTGTCCAGACATGAGATACAGGTTCCTGTTGGTGTGTGGTCATTACCAGGATGTCAAAGCAGGAATGTGATGGAGATGTGTATCATTATGGGTAGAGTTTATCCAGCATATATATACAATAGACTTAGATGGGTTGACAGAAATTCTCAACCTCAGAAGATTCAGAGCTTTTCGAAGGATAATGTTATAACATTAAAAATAATTCTTCTGAATATAACAGTACTTACATGTGATCTTAAATGTACTAGTCATGAGCTTTGTTTATCAGATAATTAAGATTTATCCAAAATACAGTACACATCTGAGGTATTTTCTTCTAATTACCATGATCTGGACTTAGGTGAGATCAAAAGACTACCGCTAAATCAAGAGTAAATATTTATGTTTGACCAGAAAACTTCAAGTGCTTCAGATTTTACCAATTTTGAGTATGTTGGGTGAAAATTGACACTGGTACACACATGTATGTTATATTGATCCTAGAACTTGCATGTAGACACTTACCGTGATATTTTTGGCCATGTTTTTACAGATATGGTTTCCCCTGATAAAAAGTGTGTTATTTTCACAAAATTAAGCAGGAAATATGTCACAACTTTCCAGTTTTGTAGGAAATATTGCTATATATTTTCCCAATTTATACAGGGACAGCTGGAGCTATCAAAATTAGGTGAAAAATCACTGGCACAGAGGTCAAATGTGTGTGCTGTGCATACCATGTGATGAAAAGATGCTTTGAAATTTAAGTTGTGTACATGGTACATGTCTACCAAGGTATCCCCAGGACCTACCTGTTTGTAAACAGGTGCTGGATGTATATATACTTGCTGGTTGATTGACCAATGATTTTCTTGGTGATAAAATAGCCATCCGACATGGATGACCTAGGGCTGTATACGTATGGACTGAACAGAATGTCACATGGACAATAGGGCACTGAGTGACCAGGACTTAACACAGGTTTTCACTATAATGTTGACAGTGTTTGAGACAAACCGATGCTTATGATAATGTGTATGGAAACTACTGACTGATCAATTACCACACACACTATACAACATGTGCGACCTGTATTTTGAAAGTTGACAATTACCAGATATGATTAATGTATGTGGAGGAAATATTCTGTATGGTGTTTCACTAATGTGTACTGACACTGACTGAATATTGTATTTGACAAAAAATGAGGCTTACCTACTTAATTAGAGGTAAGATATACAATTTACTCTATTTTGATCATGTAGTAAGCCCTAATTGGTCATTATACCTCTGCAAACTCAAAAGTAGGAAGACACAGAGCTGGAATTGGCATTTGCTTGTAATGTTGATATTTGTTTTGTTCGTTTTACCTCTCTAGAATCTCTTTATCCCCCCCCCCCCCAAAAAAAAAAAACCAAAAACAACAGCCAGAAGGGCCATTTTTTAGGCAGGACTCCACATAATAGCTGTTGGCTGTCTTATCGAACATGCCTTCCAAAATAGACACAACCATTACAGCTCAAGACAGTCGAATTTTCAGCTAACTTGGTATCATCAAACCATGATCCCTAGCAATAAAACAGGATGGGCTTATTATCAGACATGGGCTTATTAGTGGTCTTTCATATGATGTTTGAGGTATATATTATAAACGTAAGGCACGAGAGAAAAAATATGCAACATCACTGTTTTTTTATATTGGAATGTTCAAATTCGGAAAAATTTTAAATGGATATGCAACAAAAAACGATATGATGTAAAAAATGAGAGCAAACAATATTTTTAATACATTTATATCTTTGATTCATGAATAAAGTTCAATGTATTCAATGTTTAGTATCATTAAATGACCATTTGTCAATGAATACATGCTTTTACAACATTTACAATTTTGAACCGAGCCACCCTGAAAATGCGTAATTGTGAGACGATGCTCTGAGGTGTAATAATATACTTGAAATTGAGTCTCTCTGTCTATGTAGGTCATGTTTATTTAGAACACTGATCATTCACCACAAAAAGGTGTGTTATTGTAAAAAATATAAAGACACTGGTCTCTTCTTTAGACAGGAAACAGAGCATGACTAGTGCATTTTTCCTTACCTAAATCAGTGATGATTACCTTGCTAGTATGTTATGTATACAGATGATAAATACATTGACATCATTCAGTTATAACATCTCAGCAATGTGTGTAACTAATTATCAATCACACAAATAATGTCATGGTAATTATACCCCTGTAAATGAAGCTTTCAGGATTTGGGTGCTAATATTGGAATAAAGATGTCTGTCTTTAGGCAGATGTAAGAAGTTTGTTGTTTGTCTGGAGTCAAGTGGTATCAGCCATTATACATCA